GCCGAGGAGCCGTCGGGTCTGCGGGTACGGAGCGGGCAGGCGCGGGGTGAGCCGGGTGGGGACGGGTGGGGGAATCCAACTCAACTCCGCGGGGCGGCTGGGAACTTCGTGACCCTCGCGGGGGAGGGGGCCGGGCAGGAAAAGTTTGTCCCGGCCGGAACTGACCAGAGGGCCGGTGCTGAGTCGGTGGGCGCGGGGCTGAAGTTCTGGGTCAATTTGGAGGGTGATGAGGATTGGGGTGACTGGTGGGCTGAGATTCCTCTGGGAGGGGGAAGGAGTGGCATATCGGCCTTGGACTCGAGCTCCCATCGCCCGTGGGTGGCGGGTGTTCTTCTGGAGCCAATCTGAGCCTAGGGGCTGGGGGCGCGCTGAGAGCACCGGTCCAGCCTGGGCCTGAGGTTCCCTGGAAGGAGGAGGCTCGGCGCTGATGTCCCGCCCGGCCCAGGTTCTGTGATACACTCAGACTCGGGCTCTGGAGCAGTCAGTGCATGACAGAACTTGGGCCCGGAAGGACCTTCTGCACCCATCGGGCACTGCGCCCACCAGGGGCCTGCAGTGGAACATCTACCTGGGAGTGGAGCATGCACCGGAGTTGGCCCAAGTGGCACGGAGTTGGGCCGGATCCAGCATAGACCTTTGAGACTGGGGTGACTGGAGCCTGAGGATGTACTCCTAGCACCAGCAGGTCCCATAGAGTCATGGCAGGACGTCCACCTTGAGTTAGGGCCCAACGGAGCTCTCCTCCGGTGTCAGTTGCAGGAGCCCTCCCTCTACACCATCAAGGCTGTTTTCATCCTAGATAATGACGGGAACCGGCTGCTGGCCAAGGTAAACACCCTGCCTTCCCTGAGGGACCCTAAAGACAGTGCTGTGGTCCCCCAAACAGGTCCCCACCCAGGTGACTCTCTTATCTCAAGAGAGATTCCACTTTGATCTCTGCCTCCTGCCCCAGAGGTCATTCTGTCCAACCTCCTGCCTTGTCAAGCCACTGGTCCCTAATGGGTGGACGTCTCCTTTGTCTCTATTCATATCCCCTGAAATGTCTTACCATGCCAGTTGGACCATGGGAAGCGGCTGCCCAAAGGTCTGTGTTGAGCCTGGGACCCAGGACTCCTAGTCCTCAAAGTCTAAACAAGCTACCTCCGCTTGGTTCTAAGGAGTCTACAGATTTGGAACCAGATGGGATGTTAGAGACCATATCATCTGAGTCTTTGTTTCGCAGATGAAGAAAATGGGGAATAGAGAAGTTGAGGTGCCTAAGCTCCCATGTATATCATAGCAGAGATCCAAACTCGGGCTTTTCGATGAGGCTTGGTGTGGTTTCCATTCCCATTCAGCTATCCAGTATGCATTCTAGTGAGCATGCCCTGAGTAAGCGAAGCTAGGACAACCCTAAAGTAAACTTCTACCACCGAGTTAACTGCAGTGGAGCGATAGCATCTCAGTTAGCTGTGAGATACATGATGGGCTTTTCATTTGGGGGTGAAACGTTTTTGTCTTCACGACATTCAAATGAGCACGCTCACTGCAGCGGCAGCCAGCAGGGAGATTCTCGTTGCCTGCACAGCGAGTCCTAAGTGGCAAGATCCACGTCCAGAGCATTGAAAGCTGACCCACCACATCTCACCCCGGCAGATGGTCAGAGGTGGATGTGCAATCCCAGAGCGTCCCGGGCCTCCCCCAGCCAGGCACACCCATGTTACAGATGAATAAACGGAGTCAGAGAGAGAGGCTCCACTAAACCAAACAAAAAGCATTGATTTCATTTTGAATTAGGCAGGAGGAACTTTTCCTTAGATGTTTATCTCCTCCATAACGCTGTCTGAAGTCAGACTGTCCATGGTGTGGAATCCCTTCTGGCCCTGTTGGGGAAGTTACCTGATGCCATGGCCCGGTGACATAATGGGGATGATAAAGTAGCTGCTGTTAAGTTTGTGTTGTCTTTAGGAAGGACTCCTGGCCTTGTGGTCTGTCCTGTAGACTCCCACGGATGGCTATGGAAGTGGTGTGGCCTAGTGACCCCCAGCCTTAGCACCCTACCCATCTGCTCAATGTACAAGAGCCTCCAAGAAGCCAGGAGGGACTCCATAGTAGGCCTCCATTTTCCTCTACTTATTCTGACTTTCTTTGCTTAGAACTAACTTTTGGGGAAAATAGACAGGCCTAGAGAGCCCCCTTTAGGGGAGACCGGGCACAGCAGCAGGGTCCTGTCCAGCCAGCACCCACTGCTCCCCACCACCTACGCCGGGAGCAGCCAGGCCCTGTGGAACGGCTCTCGCCCCTTTTCCCCTTTGTCACAGTATTATGATGGCACGTTCCCCTCCATGAAGGAGCAGATGGTCTTCGAGAAAAATGTCTTCAACAAGACCAGCCGGACTGAGAGTAAGCAAGCATCCACCACCGTCTCCTCCAGAACTCAGAGGCACCTGTCGCCTTCATCTGGACGCATCTGTCCCCATTGGCCTTCCACATCCATGGCCATGCCCTTTTTTTCGGAGGCGATTTTCTCTCTCCTTCCCAACTGTTCTCCACTCCTCATGACTCTCACCCCCACCCCCAACCTCCTTAGGCCTCTCTCTCAGCCAGGAGCCCAGCTGGGGTTTGTGGTTACCCCACCACCCTGATCTGACCCCAAGGCTCTCACTGTGTATGGTGGGAGGGTGGGCAGGAGGTTGACCGGGTTGACAACCTGGTCTGCTGACCCCTAAGAGAGGCAATCTCCAGAAACAGGGTGGCAGCTTGGGGAGGACACAGCAGCACAGTGGTCATGTCCCAAATGCTCGTCCTTAGAAAAAGAAGGAGGGAACAGGGAGAGGCACAGAGCAGGAGGCGGGAGGAGGGGTCAGGTGGGTCAAGGCCGTGTGGCCAGTCTGACAGCCCATCCCCTTGCAGGTGAGATTGCGTTTTTCGGGGGCATGACCATCGTCTACAAAAGCAGCATTGACCTCTTCCTATACGTGGTGGGCTCATCCCATGAAAATGAGGTGAATTCAGGAGACAGGTCTGTCCGGGGGGGGCATGGCTGGGAGTCTGGGGTAGAGCCTGGATCTGGAAGCTCACCATTGGTACCCTCTTTCTAGTCTTGGGGGGCCTTTGAAGTGCACCAAAAATAGTTCTTCCTGAAATAATGCGTATCCGCTAAGCCTCTTGGGTTTGTGGGGAGCCAAAAATGAAGTAATCATCACTCCCTCTGCAGGGGTGCCTTTGTTTGTCTCTTTTTCTTTTTAGAGATATTTTTGCTATAGGGCATGTGTGCTTGCCAGAGAGACAGAGAGAAAGAAAATGAGAGAGAAAGTGAGAAATCACCACCCCCACCCCACCCACCGGGGCAATGGCCATGCCAAATCCCTTCTCCTCCGTTCTCCTCTTGGGATTTTGGGCACATATGCACATGCATCCGGTGTGAGTTTCAAGCTTCTGGAGCCAGGATTCAAACTGCAGTCAGCCATGTGGGAGTCCAGCAACGTAACCTTTACTCCATCTGCCGGTCCCTTTTTTTTTTTTTTTTAAGGTTTTTGCCATAGGGTGCAAGGGCTAACCCTAACTCTAACTCTGCATCCCCCAGGGAGCTCTCCAGAGCTTCCCCGACACCAGGCAGTTCCCTCTGAGGGCAAACCATAGTCAGCCTCCCGCCCTGTCTCTGTGAAGGGGACAACTGCCCACTGCTGACCACACAGGTGGGCTCCGAGGCCCCTTTGGGCCTTCTCAACTTCAAGCCCTTTTGCTTTCCTCTCCCACCCCACCCCTCCACAGCTGATGCTCATGTCTGTGCTCACCTGCCTGTTTGAGTCTCTGAACCACATGTTAAGGTGAGTGAAGGGCTCTGCCTCCCAGCTCCCCTCACCCAGGCCTTGACAGGGCACAGAGGCAGGCCCTTCCTTCCCGCTTTTCTCCTGGAGTCCTCGGAAAAGTGAGAGAATCCAAGAATGAATGTCCACTGTCAATTTACGCAGTAGGGCTGTAGTGCAGGGGTGGAAGGTGGGCCTGAGGCAGCAGACCTGGAAGGCTCTGCCCCCTGCATGCTCCTTCCCATCCTTGTTGGGGGCTGGGCTTAGGAGGTGAGGGAGTGAGGCTTTGCAGAAAGAGAGGCAGGGACCACCCAGTTTCCCCTGGCCATGAGGAGGCTCAGGAGCACACGTCTGCCTTCAGGAAGAATGTCGAGAAGCGCTGGTTGCTGGAGAACATGGACGGAGCCTTCTTGGTGCTGGATGAAATCGTGGATGGCGGGTGAGGAAGAGATGGAGAGAAGAGGGGGCGGCAGGGACACCCACAGAGAGAGAGGGGTTCCCTGAGGGTCACCAACTCCGAATGGCCTGTGGCACATGGCTGGGCTCTCCAGCCAACTCCTCCCTCCCTTCCCCAGCCTGTCCCCAGTGGTCCCATCGCCCCACCCCTTACTCACACTCCCTTATGAGGATGGAGGTCGATTTCCACGTTAGACAAAGAGGAGAGTAACCCGATGTAAAACTGTGGCCGACAGTTGGATTGGCAGGCTTGGGGAAAGCTAGTCTGAGCTCCGTGCCGGGGGAACTACCGGCATAGACGCTGGCCCCTGTCTAGAAGGACTTCGGACAGAGCCCGCCTTCCCCACCTCCCACTCTGAGAGCCCATGCGCACTTACTTTCCCTAGCTTTAGAGTGGGGGTGACAGGGGCACCACCTCATAGGATTGTGGAGACTCGGTGAGATGATGCACGTGAAGCTCAGGGTTCTCATTCCGCCAGTGTTATCGCCTGTTGGAATGCTGGCACATTCCCAGAAAGCTGGGGGCCCTCGTGGGGAAAGATGGTTAGCAGACTTCCATGAAGAATACTACTCGGAGAAGAAGTTCTGCTCTTGGACAAAGGATAATAGCATCTTCTCGAGCACCTTAGCAACATCTACGTGCACGCCTCTAACATTACACCCATGTTATAGATGAGGAAGGAGAGGCTCAGAGATTCAAGTGGCTTCCTCAAGATCACACAGCAAAGGAGTGGCAGGGCCAAGATCTCAAACCATGCGCCTGGTTCCAGAGACTGCGCTCTTTCCATGGCCCTGTGCCATACTGCCTGCAGATGGGGGTTCCGAAAGATAGGGTGCTGCCTCCCTTCCTCTAGAGCTATTTTTTAATTTTATTACTTCTATTACTTCTATAAGTAGCAGAGAGAGATGGCCTCCAAAAGAGTCTTTTTTTTTTTTTTTTTTTTTTTTTTTTTTTTTTTTGCTATAGGGCATGTGCACTCGCCAGACAGACAGAGACAGAGAGACAGAAAGCGAGAAATCACCCCCCAGGGGGGATGGCCACACCGCAATCCCTTCTCCTCCGTTCTCCTCTTGGGATCTTGGGCACACACGCACACGCCTTAGCCAGCTCCAGTCATGGGTACATGCGTGCTTGGCATACTCAGGAAGGTCTCTGGACACGAACCTGGAACCTTCCCACATGGATCAGCCTCGCAGATCATCACATTTTACTACAGTAGCACCATCTGTGCCCCCTATTATTGTTAACTGCCTGCTACTGCGAGTCTTGTGGGGGTATGACCAGGCTTGCAGAGCCAGATTTCCAAGAGCTCCAAGCTTGTGAGTCTTTGCATTTCATAATCTGACCATCCTAGGCTGCTGCTCTCACCCAATTTGAAAACCTTGGCCCTGTGGTGAACAAGTGTGTGGGCCATCAGGTTTGTGGTGTAGACGATGAGAGCTGAGAGCCCTTGGTGGTGAGGAGAGTTCTGACTTGAGGACTATTTGATGGGAAGGTGCCTGGAAGGGAGACATTGCAGGATGCATTGAAGAGAGGGAAGAGGCTGAGCAGGGGAGGAGGCAGAGGAGAGAATCATGTCACCAGTGTTCCTCCTGGTTTTCTCCCACCCTGTAGCGTGATTCTGGAGAGTGACCCCCAGCAAGTGATCCAGAAAGTGAATTTTAGGGTAAGAGTTCCTGCATCCCCTCCCTCTCCATGTCCTGCAGGCTGTTCCTCCCATCCTTCCCCCTGCCTGCCCTCCTCCCTGGGCATGAGGCTACCAGTGCCCAGGTGTGGAAGCCCAGGGTCCTCTGGGTTGCTGCATTTATTAGGGGTTGGGGACATTGGTTAGTAAAGAGATCTGCCTCTCCTCTCCCCCTTAGGATCACAGTCCCTCACCATCTTCCTGCAGGAGGTATAGACTGGGGAAGTCAATAAATCCTCAAAGGCCTTGGCCTTGAACCCCTGGGGTCGGGGATGGATAGGCTCTCCCTGCCTGGTCTTGCTCCCCTCTTACTCCCCTTGATCCACACCTTCCATGTACCAGAGAAGGGTCCCAGGGTTCCGGGCATCCTGGGGATAAGCTGCAGGACTTCAGCTAACCAGTGATACAGGTGCACTTCTGGATCATCCTAACCACTGCACCACCTCACCCACCCCCAGGCCCCTTTCCTTCATCTCTTGGACCCTGGCCTGACCCCTCCCTTTGACTCTGCTTCCCCACAGGCAGACGACAGCAGCTTGACTGAACAGAGTGTAGCCCAGGTAGGGCCCCTGCCCCTGCCCTGGTCAGAAATGGGCTACAGAGATGAGGAGAGCAGAGCCCCCTGGGGGGACCCAGCGACACTGCCAAGGCAGAGAAGTCAGGGGTGGGGAGGGATGAGGCTGTGACAGTCTCTTGGAGGGTGTCACTGTGGCTTCCCAGCTCCAGTGGGGGAGCTGGGTGCTAATATAACAGATGGAAGAACTCCCTCCTCTCCTGGCTCAATTTAGTTGGCTCAAACCTGGGATGAGCTGCCCACCTGGTGATGGCCAGGTCCCTTGTTCCCCAGAGCAATCTGAGGACCCAGTCCCCTGATGCTTCCCTTAACCTGGAAAGGATTCCAAATCAGTTCCCCCACCTTTCCCATTTAGAGTCCATGCTGGGATTGTTGTCTCTCTCTGTGTGTGTGTGTGTGTGTGTGTGTTTTAGACAGGATTTCATTATGATGTTTGGGCTGGCCTCAGGCTCGCCATCCTGCCTCCGCCTCCTGAGCAGCAGGGACTACAGGCCCTCTGCTCTGTGCCTGGCTGCACTGGGCTTGTTAAGGCACTGTTAACTCATGATAGGGTGCAACTTTCCCACTCATCGCTTGCCACCTGGCCCCTGAGTGACCTGGCTGTGGGCAAGCACGTCCTGCCACACCCCTGCATGATCCTAGGTCCTGCCTGGGGATGCACAGACTCCCGGATTGGTGGCCTGGTGGGTTCTGCAGCCGCACCAACTTCCCGCTCGTCATTGACCGTCTTGACCTCTGCTCTGTCTGCCCACAGGTTTCTCTGCTCAGACTAACCCTGCGTTTATGGTGGAGCTCCCTGCCCTGGCACTAACTGCCGCCTGCTGTGGGCTTCCTGCCGAGATGGGCCTGTGCCATCCTGGGTCAAGGCCCATGTGTGGTGCCCACCTCCCTGCTTTGCCACTGGCACTCACCCCGCCTTGCCCTCCCTGCTGGTCCCTCTGCCTCCCCAGCTACTGGAATGAAAACAGCTGCCAGCAGTTTTTAGGGTGTAAAGGGGTTAGGAGTGATGAGCTGAGCAGACAAGAACACAGGCTCATGGGAGTCACCCCGCGGTACACGGTCCACCCACCACCTAAAGCTGGTGACCCTAGGGCAAGTTACTCCACCTCTCCAGACCTCACATAATCAGGACCCTCCTAGAGTTATGAGAATTAGATAAGCCAACACATGGAAAATTCTTAGCATAGTTCCTAGCAAATCATACATGCTCTATAAACAACCACACTATTCTTCCAAAGGGGGAAGGAATAAAGGCATAACATTTCTGATGGAATTCTTGAGTCAAAACCAAGGAAACTGCAGATAAGAATGAGAGAGAGAAAAATGGGAGATAGTTATGGATAGATTCCAGCTAGAAGAGGTAGGGGAACCTCAGGTCAAGCTGTCCCTAAGAGAGGAGGGATGGACGGACCTACACAGCGTGGGCCAGACCTTCTTTAGAAGGAAAAGAGGCTCGCTGACTAGGATGACCAGCACTGAATGGTTCATAAGCCCCATTTGGAAGTTACATATTGAAACAAACGGCTGGGGATTCCTGGCTGGCTGCTCCCTCTCCCAACCAATTTCTCCAATCCTGGCAATAACCGCAAGACTCCAGGGGGCAAGAGAGACCCCTCTGCGGCCCCAGGTCCCTCCCAGAACTGGCTCCCGAGGTCTCTGGCTGGGCCATCTGAGAAGCACAGCTAGGGTCCCCCCACGTCGGCACTGTGTGTGCTGAGATTTGCGTCCACACCTGACTGAAACTGTTTGCTCAGCAGCACGTGGGAATGCACACATCTGGGAACAGGTGTCTTGTGGCAGGGTCTGGCTGGCCACCTTTTGCCAGCTGTGCCACATCAGCAGCAGTCAGGGTGGGGCATTGAGGACACACTGCCAGTCAAAACCAGAGCGAGAGCTTTGCTGAGGCATCAAGTGTCAAGCCGGGGCGCAGCCCCTGCCTGGACGTGGCACTGTGGGAGGGAACTCACATGGCATGGCATCGGGGACACCAGACTGCTGCCACACCCACAGCTGCAGATGCAGGAACCAGAGGACCTGGCAGGCTTGGGTCTGGAAGTAGGAGCCAGCTGCAGCCAGTTCTGCCTGCCCTGTCCTTACACTCTAGATGGCCAGCAGAGAAGAGCTGCTGCCATCTAGCGACTGGGGGTTGCAGAGGTGCTGGGTAGACCTCCCCGTCACTGCATGGAAAGGCATTTGACATTCCCCCTAACTCTTTCTCTCAAACCCTGCCCCCACCAGGTTCTCCAGTCTGCCAAGGAACAAATTAAATGGTCACTACTGAAATGAAAGCTGTGGATCGAGGGCTGCCTGCTCCCTCTCCTGACCATTTCTCCGATTCTGGCAACAGTCCAAAGGCCCCAGGGGGCAAGAGAGACCCCTTTGCATTCCCAGACCCCTCCCAGAACTGACTCTCAAGATCTCTAGCTCAGATTGGGAGACACTAAGGTCTGCCTTAAGGCCTGAGTCATTACCCCTTCTCCCCTATCCTGGCATGTCCCTTGGGCCACGGAAACTGCTGAGCTGCCTTAAGCCAGACCTTACGTGTGCCAGCCCCAAGTCCTAATAAATGTGCTTTTGTCTCTTGCCAAGGGTCTTCTTTCTTGGTCTAAGAAGCATGTGTGTGTGTGTGTGTGTGTGTGTGTGTGTATAAGGGTTTCTGCACTTCCTGTAGCTCCTTTTCGGGATATCTGGTATAGGCCTGACATATCCCTACAGTACTGTGATTAGGGAGAAGCATAACGAGGGTCTGATGCTGCGACCAGGGCCCCCCATGTGGTGGGGAGGCTAGGTATGGCTTTGTGACACAATACAAGACTAAAAGTGAGGGTTTAGCAGGTGGTGTGGTGGTTAAGGCACAGGACTCCCACATGGTCGTCCACTGTTTGGGTCCTGGATCCAGCTGTTTGAAACTCATGCCAGATGGGACCAGGAGATGGCATAATGGTTACAATGTTGGACTCCCATGTAGTCTAACAAGGTTTGAGTCCCTGACCAGGTGGTTTAAAACTCATGCTGAGCACAGGTGTGTGTGCTCCCAAAATCCCAAGAGGAAAATGGAGGAGAAGGGATTGCATCATGGCCATCCCTCCTAGGGGGTGATTTCTGGCTTTCTGTTTCTGTCTCTCCAGTGAGAACATGCATCCTATAGCAAAAATCTCCTAAAAAAAAAAATAGAAAAGAAAAAGGAATTCACACCAGGAGTGTGTGCCCAAAATCCTGAGAGGAGAATGGAGGGGGAAGGGATTGTGGCAGTGACCAACCCCCCTGGGGGCAGGGGGTGATTTATCACTTTTCCTCTCTCTGTCTCTCTCTGTCTCTCTCTCTCTCTGGCGATCACAATCACACAAGCCCTATGGCAAAAAAAAAAAAAATCTTTAAAAAAGAAAAAAAAGATGGTATCCCTATTTTATGTATGCAGTACATAGACGGTGACTCCGCCAGGAATTCCTCGTGTCATTTTTTCCATTCCCAGCCTCCAAAAGGGAAGGGAGTCAGGCTTCCTCTGGACAAATTGAGGAATGGCCTGGCTGTTTTTCTTGGCATGCCCGGGAGAGCAGAATTCCCATCTTGGCACATTCCTTGGGCATGAGAGCGCTGCAGGCATGCCTTGGCTCGGCTCGGATGCAGGGGGCGAGGAAGTATCGGCCAGCCCCACCTTGCGTGCGTGCAGAACACCCACCTAGGGCGCTCCAGAGGGTGTGATGAATGGCAGGCCGGGAGGGAGAGCCCAAGGGAGGTTCCAGGGGCAGATGCGCAGGAAGGAGATGTATAGCTTTTCTGGGCGACATGACTTCGCTCTTCGTCACCGTCCCAGAGCCTCCAGCCTCTCTTTCTCTAAGAGTACACCTTCCGTGTTCTGGACATATGTCCCGGAGCCTGTCTGCCACTGGCTTCCCGGGACAGCTCATTCGCCGGAATCCCTAGCGCACAACACCGTTCACTCAAGCCCTTCCCTGACCCCGCCCCTCGCGGGCGACAGGCGCAGTGAGAAGCCCCGCCCCAAGACAGCATCTGCGATCCTATAGCGCCACCTGGAGAGAAAACAAGAAACTCCCTAGCGCCAGGTCGGCTCCCCGGACTAACTCCGCCTCCCGTGTGGAACCGACCTCGGTTCCTAAAGGCTCCTAGTTCTGCACCACCAGCCGCAGGGCGTTGCCCTAGCAACAAGCAGGCTTGCCCGCCCAGATTGCTCCTCCGTCTGCCAGGGCACAGACATTTTGGACTGCCGCTGCTGTAAGAAAGTGGAGAACTCTGAGTGTTAATAGGGTCTATCGCTGCTTTATCAGCGATAATATATAGTAGCCTACATTATAAAACGCTTTAAGATTGGACATTGATTTATCTTTAAGAACAGGGTCTTGCTATATTGCCAAGGTTGGCTTCGAACTCAGGGTCCTCCTGCCTCTGCTTCCTGGCAGCTGGAACTAGTGGCGCGCCACTGCGCCCAGTTTAAAATTGGATATTCATAATGACCTTGACATCTTCTGTAGTTAGAGTAAATGACAAAGATATGTAAGTATAAACATGGTAAACGCTATGTATGTAACCCGTTCCAGTAAATAATGAAAAAAAAAAAGAAAGAAAGAAAGAAAGAAAGAAAGATCCCGAGGCGGGGGGTGTGCCCGTTAAACACCGTGGAGTTCAGGAACCAGTGTGGCGACGGAAACGGAGAAATTCTCCGGAGACACTTCAGCAAATATGCGGCCGCACCCAGCGCTTGGCTCCATCCACTCCTCCTACGCGACCGCAAAGCTGGAGGGGGCAAATTTGCTTCCTAGCAACCCGGCTGCGCTCGCTAGAGCCCTGTAGTTCTAATTGTGCAGGGACGGGAAAGGGAAGGACCGGCAGGAGCCTGGCGCTTTACAAAAACAAATACTCTTCCCCATTTTATGGAGGGAAAGACTGAGGCTCAGAACGTTTCAAGTGCTTGCAGCAGTTCCCGCAAAGCCGAGCTGGGGGCGGTGGGGGACAGGTGGTTTTTCCGCGTCCCCTGCCCTAGGGTCGTCCGACTCCCTCACTTGCACAGGGACTGTATTAGCGTAAAAGGAATGAGCGGGGGTGGGAGCGTGTGGCAATGCAGAAAAATGATCCGAAAAGTGTCCTCACTCCCTATGGCAATAGGACTTTGGAAAGGGGCGTCTACCGTACGAACCACCTACGCCTGGAGCCGGGAGGACAGTGCAGAGGGAGCTGCGCAGAACCGCAAGAAGACCTGGGGAGGGCCTGGCCTTCTGGGAGCTAGAGGGCCGCCGGCCGTTGTGTCCCCAGCCCCATCTCGGCGCCGCAGCCCAGCGGAGCCACCAAGACCGCGGGCCTGGCCGGCCGCCCAGAGCTCTGCCTGCCGGCTCCGGCTTCCCCCAGACGGACTCATTAGCGCTGCCACCAGCCGGAGCCGGCGGGCGCGGAGGAGAGCTCCGATGACTGAGTTTCGGGAAGGCGGCCGGCGGTTGCGGGCGGGAGCGGCCGCTTGGACCTGCCTTCTCGTCTGCTCCCATCCCCAGGGCTCCTGACCATCTTCTGCATCCTTCCTCCCTTGCCAGGGCGACCCAGTGAGCCTAAGTGAATTCGGGGAAGGGGACCTTAGGGCGGCCCCTTCCCTCCAGCTGAATTAGCCCCAGCGTACATCAGAAACCGAGACCCCCAGGATCTTGGTCCTAGGCAGAGGTGCGCACGGAAACTCTCGTCAGCAGGTTCTGACACGAGAGGGAAAGA